GCCCGCCGCCAGCGGTCGTCGGGGGGGGTGGGGGGGGAGTTGTGGCTGCATTTGCCTTTCCTTTGTCGAGCAATACTGTTCCCTTTTTTTTTTTTTCTGTTGTCTGTCACTTGAGGAGTGTTGTAAATAAAACCTGGTGTCCTTTTGGGTCTGCCTCCGTGTGACGCTGCCCGCCACGGTCCCTGCTCCGGGGCTGCCTTGGCCGGGCACAGGCCCGATCCCTCTGCTCTTCGCCACAGCGTTTGTGCCAGCGGTGGAGCAGCGTGCGGGGTGCTGCCCGGCTGCTCCTGGCGTGCCGTGCCCAGCGCGGTGCTGCAAAGGTGGGAAGAGGGCTGTGTCAGCCGTGGCGGCCCGGGGGGCTGTTCCTGCCCGTGCTGCTGTGTCGGTGCGGGACTGTGTGCGCCTGCGGCCTTGCTGGGGCAGGGCCCTTGTTCTTCCCTTTTTTAGACTTCTAAAACATTCCTGTTTTGTGGGAGAAGCCCTGTGTTTTCCATTTTAGACTTCAGCACTGGTAATAAAGGCCAGGGCTTTCCTCGCCTTTTCAGGCCGGACCAAGTCCTAAGGAGAAGTAACGCAGAGAGCAGAAGCCGCCTCTTATTTCTTTTTATTTTTTTTCCAGAAGGGATCTTGCCCTTGCATTTGCTCTGGGCTTTTAATTTCACCGCAAGCATGTGCAGCCTGGCGCTGCATGCCGGTAGCACAATGCCCTTGGGCTCTGGCAGCCCTCCTGTGAGCCAGCATCCTAGGAGCTGTCGCTGGACCAAAGATTTAAATGTTGTGACTATTAATACACTCGGATCCTCTTCCCTCCCCTCCTTTACTGGCATTTAAACTATACTTAGCATTGCCAGAATTTCTCCTCCAGTGCATCTCTTTACCGTTAGCCATGACCCTGTTTACCTCCCATCACCAAGACATTTCAGGGCGCTCACGTGCTGGGGTGTGCTGCCCACTTCTGGCACAGCGGGACGGTGCCTCAGCCCCTGCGCCCGCTCCCTCGCCCCGGTGCTGCCCAGCCCTGCTTCACCGCAGCCCTCGAGGGAGCAGGGGCAAGAGGTGACAGTTGTCGCTGTCACGGCCCTTCTCCTTTCACCTTTCCTGCAGGACAGGCCCCGTGCTGGGCCCCATATCCCGGGAGCACAGAGCCGAGCGGGGCTGCCCTGGCTGGAAGCCCTGGGCGCATCTGGAGCTGTGCGTCCGGGGTCCGTG